TTCTTATTTAGACTACCTAAAATGATAGTTAGCCTAAACTGCACATAAAATCTCACCTACATACCCTGTATACCTTTATTTTTACTGAACTTAATGCAATCACTGAACTAAACCAATTAACCCAATATAAAAAAATTCTACTTACGTAGAAGGTTGTTATTAGTAATATCAAGCCGCTCAAGCCCCTGAAGCAATGTTATCTGATCAGGCAAATCATCAATCTGATTGTCTCGAAGTCTAACACACTTATCCCAGTCAAATGATTTAGTTGTTCAGCTTCTATTTCCTGTAAATGGAAAGGACTAATGTTACAAAATCTTTTTATCTATATATCATAAAACTTATGACATGATTACATATCAAATCCAATGCAATTCATACCTAAGAAAAAATTAAGAAATACTTTGAACATTTGAACACCAAAATTCTTATTTTTGCTTAACCATATTAATATAGCAACAGATGTATAGTCAATAGCTAACCTTAATGAAATTAAAACCAAGATGCAGCTCCTTTAATGATGCACAGTTATGTAAAGGAGGGAGAATTTGGATTGAGTTGTAGCGGAGGTAGAGCTGCTCTATTTTCTGCAGGTTACCAATGGAATCTGGAAGGCCTTTCAGCTCATTCTGGTTTAGGTCAAGCTGATTCAGACCTAAAAGGAAATGTGTGATTATTTAAAAATCTGACATTTACCAGAAATATATATACAAGTGAAAAATGTTTCTCACTCTACAAGAAATACATATTACAAAGAATCATATGCTTTATTACTACATCAAAACCTTGAAGAGTTATTATTACTGATTACAGTATCAACAAAAACCTACAAAATAGCCACAGCATGAAAGGGGATTTATCATTAGTTTCACAAGAGAAGAAAGGCATATACAGGATATACCTGCAAATGAGTAAAAATTGACATTACTCACCAAAACAATCTCCAATTTCATATGGAAGCTCTTGTAACTTGTTATTTGAGGCATTAAACTTTGAGAGACGCTGCATGTATCCTATACTTGCAGGTAGCTCTGTCAGAGCATTGTGAGAGACATCCTGCAAAAAATCAGTAAAAATTATTATGTAAACAGTTCAAGGGTCAAATAGTATAACTCAAAACATATCATAACCTAGGTCAAGTAGATTCAAAAAGTTTTCAGAAAGAAAGTCATGTATGCATAAGGCATGTTAATCTGAAAGTAAAGCATCACTCAAAACCCTTGCAAACAGGTTATGATTATTACCAAATATTCCAATACTGTGAGATTTCCCAGGTCATTGGAGAGAGATGACAACTGGTTGTGATCCAACTGCAGTGACCTTAAGTCTGATATAAGGAAAAGTCCAGCTGGTAATTCTTCAAGACGATTGTGGCTTAGGTTCAAGCGATGAAGGCAGGTCAGTTCACCAATAGTTGATGGGAGGGAGGTCAAACAATTGTCTGACAGCTGTAAATAAGCAAATGAAAGTTAATAATTATCAAATCTTAAATATGTCTTTGCAATGTATTACTCAAAAGTCCAAATGATATAGACTGGTCTTGATGAAATCATACTAGATTATGGAAAAATTGCAAAGGCAAATAAAGAGACAGATATGAACTTCAAACAGTAGAAAGATTCCAAATCTTTAAGTCATAAATCATGTCTAAGAAAATGAGAGAAAAAATCTAATTTATACTTGCCTTTATTGTATGTACCCAACTTACAAAACAAAAGCAAAAAATATATTGTAACTCAATGATGACATATAACCTATACATCCCATGGTAAGGCTGAACCCAAATTTTGGAAAGCAATAGAGTCTGCTCTATGTTCTACATGTTAACCCACTTGCATATATGTGACACCTAGAATACAAACTGTGGCCGGCTGTCCCACTGGTGCTATGCTAGATCGAAACTTGCGCTCTGATTCTGTCGCCTGAGGCGGGTGGCATGCGGGCAGGTGCCTAGACTGGCCTGTAAGTTGATTTTGATACCACCCAGAAATTTTGATTATTGCCCTCCAAATGGACCCTTGCAAGTGGGTTAAACAGATAGGGAGTTCTGGCTCTGGCAGAACTTGTTTTTGAGCTGTAGCCTATCAAAGTTATCCTCAACTCCCATTTTTCTAATCCTCTCTTATGATATAGCAATCAACTTGTTCAGAATCCTGACTTCTAAAGCAGTTGCCACATTCACTATTTCCACTTGCTGCAAGCTTAAATCTGTAATTGTTTACATACATATGGATATTATTAAAAGAACAGACTCACATCAAGAACCTGGAGAGACATGAGGTTGCTTATCTTGGGAGATATGGATGAGAGACAGTTGGAGGAGAGATACAGACGGGTAAGATCTGTTTGTTCCCACCAGCGGTCATCATCAGTACTATCCATGCTCATACCCATCATCATTTTCTTGGCTTCATCAGCATCCATCTCATGAATGTGATACACTTTATCAGGCACTAGAAAAAATATATATATTAAAAACAAAAACAAACAAAAAATCACTGAAAATAAGTAAATCAAAGAAGTAAACTAAATAGACTTTACAATTATAAAACTATTCTTCATTAAACTAAAAATAACAATAAAGACTATCCTGGGTATTATCATTCTCTTCTTCAAAATGAAGCAATCACAAACTCATACCTTCATGCATTCCTCTGTTGGAAAGATTGAGCTGCCCTGATCTTCTAGCCATTTTGATGATTTGTGGATGCAACTCTTCGGACTTTGCTTCATCAAACACAGAACCAACGTTGGCAAAGCCTTGCATCATTGGACGTCCACCACGGACACGTATCCTTGCACGCACTGATCCATAGGCTCTCGAGGTTGGCTTGCGAGGAGGGTTTAACTTTGGGGTTTTGGTACTGTTATAAAAGGAACAGTAGGGTTATCTCTAAAAGTCAGCAAAAGAAAGACTGGGGAAAGGGGGCAATTAGAACAAGAAAGTGAAGGAGGAAGTGGACTGGATAGGATGATGGAATGGAAGATGTTAAGGTTAGGAGAACAAGAAGGAGGAGCAGCAGGAAAAGGATACAAGGAGGGGCAAGGAGAGGGAAACAGTAAGGAAAGGGGAAAGAGAGAGTATGAGTATGACACCTGACTAACCCTATCCTGCCAAGACCCTGGCACTTATTCTAAGTAGGTTCTCTGCAGAGCTTTGATGGTTCTGGTGATATAAAATACACATCACATCACAGACCCATTCCATGACCACTCTCCTAAGGCACAACCTCTCACTAAGGATTAACTATCTTCTGAGGAACTCTCCACTTCTCATCTTCATACTGACATAAACAGGACCTGACCAATTCAACTCCAATCTTCCTTTGTATCCTAGATCCATGTATCTTCAATATCCCCCCTAAAATATGCCTACACTTACATCCAATACTAGTTACCATAACCAAGGAGGGGTTAGGGAAAGTAGAAAGGATAGGGAGAAGAAAGAAAAGAGGAGAGTGAGGGGGACAAGAGAGATGAGATAGATACAAAAAAGGACAAGAAGGAGGAGGAGAAGAAAAAGGGGAAGGAAGAGGAGATTGGGAGGGGGAGGAGAGGAGGAGGAGAGGGGAGATGGGAGGAGGAGAGGATAGGGGAGATTGGGGAGGGGAGGAGGAGGGAGAGAGGGGAGATGGGAGGAGGAAGGAGGAGGGAAGAGGGAGGAGTGAGGAGGGAGGATAGGGGAGATGGGAGGAGGAGGGAGGATAGGGGAGATGGGAGGAGGAGGGAGGAGAGGGGAGGAGGGAGGAGGTTAGAGAAGGAAGGCGGAGGAGATAGGAGGAGGGATGGAGAAGAGAAGAGGAGAGGAGAGGAGGAGGCCAGAGGAGGAGGAGGAGGAGAGAGGAGGAGGGGAGGAGGAGGAGAGGAGGAGGAGGAGGAAGAGGAAGAGGAGAAAGAGGAGGAGAAAGAGAAAGAAAGGAGGAAGAGGAGGAAGAAAGAGGAGAGGAGGAGGAGAGGAGGAGGAGGAGGAGGAGGAGGAGGAGGAGGAGGAGGAAAAAAAATGTGGAATAAGAAAAGGAGGAGGCAGCACGAGGGGAAAATAAGTGGAGAAGAGAGGGGGAGGAGGAGGAGGAGGGAGGAGAAGAGAGGAGGAGAGAGGAGTTGGGAGGAGGAGGGAGAGAGAAGAGGAGGAGGAGTTGGGAGGAGGGAGGAGAGCAGAAGAGGAGGAGGAGGAGGAGGAGAGGAGGAGGAGGAGGAGGAGGAGGAGGGGAGGAGGAAGAGAGGGAGGAGGAGAGAGGGGAGGAGGAGGGAGGAGGAGAGGGGAGGAGGAGGGAGGAGGAGGAGGAACAGGAGGAAGAGGAAGAGGAGAGGAGGGGAGGAGGAGGAGAGAGGAGGAGGAGGAGGAGAGGAGGGGGGAGGAGGAAGAAGAAGAGGAGGAGGCATAAGAAGAAGTGGAGGAGGAGCAGAAGGAGGAGGAGAAGGAGGAAGAACAGAAGAAGAAGAAGCAGAAAGAGAAGAAGGAGAAGAAGAAGAAGAAGAAGAAGAAGAAGAAGAAGAAGAAGAGGAAGAAGGTTGAGGAAGTGGATGAGGAGATATAAGAAAATGAGCCAGATAAAAAACAAAGGAAAAGAGCTTAATAAAGCTATGAAAATAATCATCAATTATCTAGTTTCATAACTTTTAAGAAGACCAAAATACATATCTATAAATCTTACTAATTAAATCTAATAATAATACAAGTAATCTGAATAAACTTACCCATCCTCATCAACTGTATCTGAATCTTTTCTGCTTGACCCCGAAGATCCTGATCCTCTGCTCATCCTGGAGGCCGCTGTTGCAGCCCTGGATCCACCACGAGAAACTCCACGGGAGCCTCTGCTTCTTGGTGGACCTAAGGGTTTGTTTGTCTTTGGTGGGTCTGCTGTGAAGGAATAGAATAAAAAAGAATAATGAAAAAAAAAAAAAAAAAATCATACCTTATACCTACTTTTCCCTTAGGTATTTTTCAAAAGTATTAACAGACAATAATGTAGAAATTAATCAATATAAGGACATTGAAACATGAAACAAAATTTCTGTACCCATTCCCAGTTCTGATGGACTAGCAGCCAGAGGTGGAAAGCTCGACCTTATTGGAGCAAGACGCCTCGTTGGTGAAGGATGTGGCAAGCGACCAACCAGACCAGACCCCCTTGTGATTGGTGTTGGTAACCTGGGGAGAGCAATACAATCAACAATAAACCTTTTCAAGTGAACACACTCTCAATTTATCCTTTTCTCTTTGGGTGAGATAAAATAAACTGCATGCAAATGTCTATTTCCTTTTTTCTGCTATTTTTCATATGACCACTTCATTTTAGTATTTCAATAAAAATATTTGATTCATCTATATCAATAAAGGCATAAAGTATTAATGAAACTATATTCCAAACACAGATTTTCTAAGCTTACATGCCATTTTTTTTCAAGAACTATAACAATCTATTTAGGTTATTTATTCACAAGTAAAATATGGTGATGCAGTGTTCACTAACACAAAAAAGATTCATTAATCAAAATGATGCATTTCATATCATAAATCTGTTAGACAGTGCAATTTGTACTGATAGCATCTATGTAGTCTTCTCTGTTATTCCTGATGAAGTGATGTGCTGGTTGCTTTGATGTAAAAAAAAAAAAAAAAATGTAAACTGGCATCTGAAAGATAATACCAATAAAGAACTGTGTTCTACTTTTTCTATTACTTTGCAAGAACATTCAGACATCCTTCATCTTTTCTACAGTCTATAACTCATTTAAATCCAAATGATTCACCATATCATAAAATATCTGAAAATGATTCATCCAGATTACAAGGAAAAGGTCATATAAACAGTATGATAGCTTTCCAGTAGCTAAGATGAAGGAATGCCAAAGTGGTTATGCTGTCCTGAAGGCTACTCACTGAATCACCTTTGATTCACTTGAATACCATTTATCTGAGGGCAGATCTTCACCAAAGAAGCTAATATGTTGATAGTTGTTTGTGGTCAACCAATTTTTCTTCATAAGTAAAAGGTTTTATTTTATACACTATTGTTCATATCTTCATTCTAGTTTCTTGGTTTAGATGACCTGGTTCAGCACTAGTCAGTTCAGGAGAGAAATGACATAAATGAAGGTTGACAAAACACAGTAAAACACTGCAAACCTATATTCTTTTACTTGCAAGTCATGTCTTTCTAGTAATCTTTGTTTTAGGATCATGTAAAAATAAGCTAATAAAACAGTTACTACTGCAACAAGCATTTGAAAGTTTCTTACTTCTGTGCTTAGTTCTGAAGAAGGCACATTCAGTATCTGTCCTATAGCAGACCTATTAAGTAATAATAAGCATTTTAAGCTTTAGATACCAGTTCATATTTGAGAACATCTGCTAAACAGGCCCTGTTTCCTGTTTGTACATTTACATATCTTGTGAGCTCGTTTCCCCTTGAAAGCACATTACACTCACTGTAAAGCTGTGGCTTACTATTTTGTGCTTAAAGGAGCAGGGAGAAACTGACAAGGATACACTGGGGTAGAATGGTGTCTAACCCTATCTAGGACAAATAAGGGTGTGTGGTAGAGGTACTTGGAAGAGCAGAATAGATGCATACTACCTGCTGTTACCCACCAATATACTAGGAATGATAAAATGTAGTTATAACAGCTACACAGTGGAAAGTATTTTTCTTGACAATCCATATTCCCAGTTCTGGTAAGGTATGAGGATGCAGGGTCTTTCATCTTATCTACAACATACTCTTATCATATAAAAACTAAAGGACATATAAAAATGTACATAATACATGAAATGTACAATATTTCTTTTATTACAAGAAGTTATATTTTCTTGCAAAGCTGTTTTATCTTATTGTAATATCTCATACCTAAGGCAAGTATATGATATTTACAAAAGTTTTCAAGGACAAAAAATGGAGATAATTTCTTTTATGTAACAGAAGAAACTGGTGTAGCAAATATATTCATGAAAAGAGCAGCAACCAAATCAAATATATAAATCAATCAATGATTCATAAATAACATAAAATAAAAAATAACTATAACAATATCAAATTTGTAAAAAAAATATAACAACACAAAAGCAATCGTAGCATTCAAAGAACACAGATCTCTTGGTCAAAGAGTGCAACTTCACACAAAACATCATGTGCAGTTTAACACTATATGGAAGTCATTCAGGTTACACCACACTGTTAACCTAATATAGGAACACAAATAAAATAAAATAACAAGAGGTTAATTTCAACAAATTTATTTCATCCCGTCATCAAGTAACAAAATCAGGGAAACCTAACTATATTTAGGACAGATCAGAGGACAGCACACAGGTTTTCTAGCTTCTATATGTAAATGCATATACTATTTCTTATCAAACTACATACTTGCTCTTTGATACTGGAATGCGACTACCTGGGGCTGGCAAGTGATTACTTGTGCCTCCCAAACTGCTTTTATCTTCCTCTTTCCACATTACTGATCACCATACTAATCTCTGAAAGCATTACATGATCAGATAACATTTATGAATTTGGGAATTCTGCTATATTAGTAATCACTGCATTTCATGTAAAATGTTAATGAACTTTTGCACATATAAATTTACATACCATGTCTACAGTGCATGAACACACATTCACAAAAATTACCTTGCACACTTTAATGTCTATAATCAGTCATCTACATATCTGTCTACATATACTGTATATCCACATTAACATTTACCTCCATATATTCAGAGATAAATCACAGATATACAAAAGGGCGACTAAAATATGATTTTATAGCGATATATTCAAAGGGGAAGATGTTTATATAATAACCAATATCTGCATAAAAAGAAGACACAAACAATTATATGGTCCTCACAAAATGAAAAATATTATAGAAATTATGAATGGAATTACAAAAGGCTGAACTGCAACATGACCAATTAAAAATATCTTAAACAGAATACTTAATTCCATCCAGGTTTATCTACTTGAGAAGTGTGTGTTAGGGTGATAACAAAAAGAGAACTGGAATTTATACTGGTCTGCTGTAAACTGTTTATGATGAGGAATGCAAGACAACTGCAAACCTAACAAAAATGTAATAATACTATATCCTGTATATCTAAAACAAAAAACTTGTCATAAATAGATAGCATCTAAACAATTGTGGTATAGGACTGTGAAACACTCTGGTTGTTATCTATAATTTCACAAAACTGAACATTGTCTGCATTCAGACAGGAAATATCTTATAGTATATTTGCACCATAAACTCTTTAACTCACTCTCACACACACACACACACCTCACACACACACACTCACACACACACACACACACACACACACACACNGAGAGAGAGAGAAAGAGAGAGAGAAGCCTGGGAATATTAAAGAGAAGATAGACAGAAAAAGAGAGAGACAGAGACGGAAGCCTAGAAGTATTGAGAGAGATAGAGCGATAGATAGATAGAGAGAGATGTGAATATTGATATACATAGTTTTTTGATAAACCAGACGAAATGCAATGATAAAAGGGGATAAAATGATTTCGAGCCAAAGTCCAAATCCGTTTCATTTCGAGCACTTTTGGTTTAGCAATACCTTATGAAAAATAAATCGCAGTTGGTAATATTAATTATGTTGCTTCGGGATACCAAAAATTATATGATTTCAACTTTGATTTCACATTAGCCTGCTTTTGTTCATGATCCATGAATGATTGAATGTGCGTGAATTTGTACACATGTCTTTGTGTGTGTGTTCATTATGGAATGTGAATTAGTAATAGCTAGGAAAACTAATCCAATGATGCTTTCTTTTTTAGAGTAAATATTTTTACCGCATGTATATTTTTTCATTTTGTTTAGTCTTTGTTCAAATAACACCTCCCTACTGCTCACCTGCTTGTGTCAGCTCTTTTACACTAACAAATTTCTGAGTGGTCAAATGCCTTCGAGGACACGCCCTTAAGCGCTGTAGTGGAACAATTAGGGTGGCGTGCTGACCTAGGTAACGCGCCCTATGCTCGTGACCTCCGACCTTCTTCATGTCCTCTACAAACACTCTACCGCGGGTCATGGTTCCGTTTGGACACTGCCTCCTCCAGGGTACCACCATTCCAGGGGCCGGATTCTGTAGCATATGATCGTAACGTATTTACAAGCGGTCATTTACCAGCGATGGTTAAGTGGGGTTCACTAAGAGATGGTACCTCGCCTCGAGTTGTAATATCGACTCATTTAAAGGAAACCAAAAGAGGGTTCTATTAAAGCAATTTTACCAGTCAGCGAGCGTCATAAATATTTTAGGTCCCTTCGGCCAAGAAATGTAAACAGAACTCAACACCGCGAATATAATATATATATATATATATATATATATATATATATATATATATATATATATATATATATATATATGATTACAAGTAAGACACCATTTGATCACATGTGGAAGAAATGAATAAAGATTTGTTTTATCATATCCATCATGAAGGATATTAATAGATTTCCCTGGCTATTTATCGTCTAAAAAATAACCAATACAGTGTCATATCAATATAGGATTGTTTACCGCAAACCAAAGAAACATAGTAGACTATTTTAATGATTTATTTCTCATCATTGTCAAAGAAAGAACCGGTCCAAATACAATTTTTATTCGTCGTTATTTATCATCAAATAAAGGAAATGTTTTAAGCTCATTTTTGTCCATGCCGACAGACAAAGAAGTTGCTGTACTCGTTTAACGATGGTATTGCCAGTTTATGACTCAGTAATGTTTTTTTTTCTGTAGCATTTGTAATATTTATGTCAAAGAAGAATCCTTTAGTACTTCACTGAGCTGCCCATTCCATACACTGTACTGTCTAATATAGGCCTCCGTCTACCCACAATGTTACAAGAAGTTGTGTGGATTTTATTCTTGCTAGTTTCATGTAAAATTTGCATTTCTACGCCATGGCCATGTTGGGTGTGTGTGCCATCATACTAATCATATCAGTTATAAAAACAAATCCAA